TGCCTTGAGATCACAGTGCCCCCACAGAATGTATTGAGGCAATGCATGGCATGAGGCACCCGAGTGAAGTGTGAGTCGTTGAGTTGGTCATAGAGATGGATTGGGTTATCCCTCCACCCAGGAGTCCAAGAGCCCCTCACTGCCTTCCAAGTGCCGGCATCCAATTGTACCTGGCCCCTGGACTGCAGACCATTTTTCGAGATTGGCAGTCAGAACTGGTCCACAAAACAAAGCGGTGGATCCATTGGATGCGCATGGCATGCGTCGCAACATGCACGTTCAATTGTTTCAATGTTTTCATGTGTTTTCTCGTTTTCTAGGGGTCTTGGCATGGTCAGAAGTCGAGACATGCCCAAGTGTCCAGGACCTTTCCACACAAACCTTCAATCGGTGTTGAAATAGGGAGTGTATTGAAATAGGGAGTCGGAGACATCCCAGTTGGACTTGCTGAAAGGTTCGGAACATAGACCAGTAAACCATAGTCTGGTTCTCCCTACAATACACACCGAACCCTGGCCAAAGCACCCTGCGTTGCTTTGGTTTTCCTTGGGCTAAAACCTTTCTGATGGAGCCAACAGTCCGACGCAGCCTGAAAAAACTTCGGGTTAAGGCATTCTGCACATTCCCATGGTCAAGTCGGTCAAGTCGAGCGGAATCCGTTTGTGGTCCAGCTACAACAGACCACACCGGCGTGGTGTGAAATTCAACTCGACAGTGGATGTGTGGTCAGTAGATCACAGCCTTTTTCAGATGTTTTGATCGAAACCTGGCCGGGTCACCTCGACCTGCCGAGGTGCTGTGCACGATGTCATCCTCCAGGTCCTTGATTGATACCTGGGAGATGCTCCACTCCGGAGGCCCACATCGCGGGACGCAGGTGTCTCTTTTTTTTTTCAATTCGGTGCTAGCACCTGCTTCACTCGGAGTGAACGAAGGGGAGTGGTTTTGCTTCCGTCCCATCCAGTGGATGCGATGTGACAGGGGCACCGGGGCACCCCGATCGAACGGCACTTCCACATGTGACTCTTTGTATGGCTCTCCGTGCAGTCGGGTGGGGGAACTCTTGAGGCTTGGAATGGTGTTCAATCATGTTCAATCCGATCGTCCAATGGCTGGGAGTAAGGACGATCACGGAAGTTCTGGTCTACTCACATGGTGGGTGGCGCCATGTGGGGCGTCTTCAAGAAATGCAATGTCTTTCGAAAGGGACGCACCAAGAATGCAAGTTGAGGGGTACAAAGAGGAAAAGACATGAACAGCTGGTGGTTGTGGGAGAGAGAAAAAAAGGCATTTGCGGAGGTCCCCTTTCAATTTCAAGTCGGTGAGCTTTATTTGAAGGGGCCCTTGGATTTTGCTGATTTTTACACATATTGCAGAAAGAATCTCTGAAATGTTGCTGGTGAACTGGGGATTTGATGCACTTGTCAATCGTTTTGTGGGGAACGTTGCTCAGAATCTTCCGTGTCCGTCATGGGGTCAACAAAACCACTAAACCTAAAGACCTATAGGGACTAAATATAGGGTTTGAATCCACTCCCCATGTACCCCATGTACGGAGCAACCAATTTCCTCTATCACGTCAGACGGCCGGCCAGCTGTAGATACTGTACCCACCTGGGACAAAATAGGGAGTATATAACAGGTCTTCAAACAATTGCACTTGGACGCGCCGAAGTTTTGGTGGCGTTCAATACTGATAAGCAGCTAAGCACTTGTGTAAACACACACACAGACTCTCTCATTGTGCCAATCATGTTATATCGAATCAGAAGCGTACATAGCACTCTGTTGAGAAGTTGCCGCTGGATCTAGAGCTTCTCATGCCAACTCGGAAATGCTTAATCCTGTCATATCATGTTCGACAGGTTTCGTCACAATGGACAATTGATCAACCTTGGACATTTGGTTGGGAGAGTCGGGTGCTCCAAGCCCCGGCCCCTGGCCGCGCCAAGTCCCAGTGCCTGCAGACTCACGGTGTGGGGGCACCGCAGGTGACACCTTCTGCCTGGTGCCCTTTGCGGCCTTCCGCCTATGTGGTGCCGATGTCGAGTCCGCCCAGCTCTTGGCGGCGGTGAGGGTGAAGGGCGAGGAGAAGGCCCCGGAACTCGGAGGTGAAAGGCAAACCCCAAACGCAACAAACGCACCAACTCGGAAGTTCCAAAGATTTCTATATCCGGCGCGGTTCGAGTTGGTGCTTTGGACATTGATCACAGGATTCTCCAGATCTTCCTGTTGCGAAGGCTGACAAAACTGGCACCAGAACTGGTGGCACGACTTGGACCCACTGTGAAGTGTCACTCCATGAAGCATTAAAGCATCCACAGCCGAATTAGGAGCCGAGACGGGCGATGTGGTGTGTGTGTTTTTTCCTTCCCTACCTGCCTTCTTCCAAATCGCCTCTCAGGGTGATCACTCGAAGTATAGTAACCTTTTTTTCTGGCTGGCCGGTTCATTTCCATGCACCTGCATTGAGATGCCCTTCAGTTGGGTTCAGTCCGTGGTTTACCCTCCCTCCAACAATCATGGAAGCTGGCCAGGACACCCTCATAGAGGAAAATTGTTTTCCAATGTTTTCCAAGGGCCTACACTTCCATGATTCTTTCAGATGACATTTCCCTGGTGAAACTTCCATGATTTGCGGCCCTTTTTTTACAATACTTTTCCAATGTTTTTCGATGACAGGTCTTGCCGGTGGCCTCCTTGAGTGCTTGGCCTGCTCCCCGAGTCTGGAGGGGCGATCGATGGCAGGAGCTTCACCGTGAGGCGAGGTCGGATGTGTAAGAGATGGAAGTGGCCAATGTTCTGGAGATTTGGATTACTGGTATGGTTTGGACATATAGTGAATGGATTGGATATGTGTATATGTATATGTATACACTTCTGGCTGCTGCTGATGACGATGATCATCATCATCATCACCACCACCACCACCACCACCACCACCACCACCACCACCACCACCACC